CGGGTTGGGGGGATAAACGTGCGGGTGGTAGGGCAGGTGAGCCGGTGGCCCGTAGGCGGGGGGCAGGGCGCCGTAGGAGGGCCCCTCGGTCTTCATCATGGACTGCAGGCTCTGGTAGCCCTCTCCCGACATGTAGGAGCTGGTGGTGGACATCCCGGTAATGTAGCTGGAGGGCGGTGGGGGCGGGGGCCGGTGCGGCAGCGGTGGCGGCTGGTGCACAGGGGCCGGGTGGGCCGGAGGAGGAATCTGGACTTTGGGGAGCTCACTGCCATCCACAGGGCCCGGGGGTTCAGCCTCACCTAAGGCAGCCGTGAGGGGGGGCTTCCGGTCTGCAGAGGAGAGACAAGTCACTGCCCAGTGCTGGGCAGCCCTGTGGTGCCCGGGGCCCACCAGCAGCAGCTGGACCCAGCGATGGCCTGGGGAGCTGGGCGCCGAGTCTGGCGCTGCCGGCGCTGGTGGCCGCTGTGGAGGCCCAGGGCGTCTCCGCCGGGGCAGAGCGCTTGGGCACCGCTGCCGTCAGCTCACCCCTGCCTGTCACCCAGGCCCTTCTGTCCACCACCCGAGACCCAGGGTCTCTCCGACTCCAAGCACACCAGCGCAGGGGGGCCGCAGCACAGGACACCCCTCTTCCTAGGACAGTCCCGCACTGCCGTGTGCAGCTGCCGGAGCCCGAGGCCACCGCGAGCCCCACTGTGGTGCTGGCTCAGCAGGACACCAGAGCACGCAGTGCGTGGCGACGAGATGGCAGGTTCACAAGGAGGGACCAGTCTCTGCCGTTCCCGGTGGAGCCACCGGCGCGCCATTCCTCGTCCGCCTTGCGGAGATGGCGCCCGGCCGCCGGCCGCGGAGCAGCGTGCACAGACGAGGAGCGGGCACGGCTGGCAGCACCGGGGCCCCCAGAGCCGCTCCTGGCCTCAGCTCTCCCGCCCGCCCCTCACGTTTTCCCTGTGCGCCCCCTCCTGCATGAGGGAAGCCAACACCGGAAGAGGGTGTCCTTTCCAAGCAGCCCTTGGGGAGGTGCTGGCCCCTCCTGTCCCTACTTTCTCTTGAGGGCCCCAGGGCCGAGCTCCTTGCAGTCCTGACTGCGCACAGACACGCATGTGCCGGGAGGCAGCCAACGGCCGTGATCTGTGCCACCCACCCCGGGGTGCTGTTCCCACCAAAGTGAGTGCGGGAAGCTCAGGACCCCTCTGGGGCAGCCCGCACCGCTGGGCCGGCAGCTGCCACGGCCGGGGAGGGTGCGTTAGGCCGCGATGGGACGGGAGCCCTTTAGTTCCAGAAGCTGCCTGGAGGAGCCAAGCCTGAGTCAGGGTTGGCAGGAACCAGCTGGCCCACACGTGCTCTGCCAGCCGAGACT